TGCTAAATAGATTTTGAAATCGTGATTTATAGAATAGTTAAAGGTTGAAGCACTTCAAAACACATCAAGAGCCCTGAATCCACCCCACTGATCCTTCCAGTGACTCTAATTCCCTCTTATTTTTCCTTTGTTGAACCAGAAGTCTGCATTTATTTTTTACAGGTATTTCTGCCTCCTTCAGTTCCAGACTAAAGGCCGCTTCTGTCATGTCACTACAACCAGAAGAAGTGCTAAGAGTATACCATGAGATAAATATTTTTGTTATTTATTATTATTTGCTCGCCGTCTAATTCTTGACGTTGGGGCCAGCAGTTCTCCACAGGACACCAGAGACGCACGTGAGCAACTCGGTTCTTCACAAAGGTTGTTCTAGATCTGAGCGCAATTTCACAGCACTTTTCAGGCAGACACAGAAAATAATTTACTTGAAAAACAAACTAGGAGTGTAGGCTGAAGGCACCAGCTCCCCCTTTAAACTCTGCAAGCTGAAGAACTTTGATGAATGTCAAAGCCTTTTCCTTTAAATATGCTACAAATAACCGTTAGCAAAGATTCGGGGTAGGACCCTCCTGCAGCCCAGGCAGGGGCTGCTCCGCTGCGGTACGCTGTAAGGACCTGGCAGCCAGAGCAAACAGTGCAATTCCTCTGCGCTGCATTTCTGGGGCAGGTTAGAAAACAATTTACCTCCATGGTATTGATGCTCTTCAGGTCAATTTTACAAAAAAAAAAAAGAAAATAAGACAGCAGCTTTAGAAAATTGGCTCAATATAAGGTTGCTTAATGACTACGTGCAGAAGCCATATTATTTTATCAGATCCTCTGAACTGGTTGTCAAGTCAGGAGACGCGGCGCAGAAGCCAAGCAGCACATCTAGCGCTGGGGGAAAGTTCCTCCTAAAACTGCTACTCTGCTCAGTACCCATCTCCCCGCTTGGGAATGAAGACATCCGCGTGAAACTAACCGTTTTCACGGGGAAACATTAGAGCTGGAGTCCAGCTTCAAACTCAAAAAACAGTTCCCAGGCAGGGTGTCCCAGGAGGTGCCCTAATGGAGAACGCTGCCTTGGTCTGCAGCAGCACAGGGATGCAGCCGTCATGACATCAGCACGGGAAGGGGCGCGCATCGCTACCTGACTTCACTTTGGCTTTTGGACCTCTCGCCTTCGGAAAGAAACCAAATGCCAAGACCGCATCATTGTACAAATTCATCCTTTTTCACTGTGTTCTAGTATTGAAATACAGTCTGCTGAGTTTCAAAATCCAATTCAATTTCAACTCAAGGTAATGATACAAAATGATGATGATTTTTTTCATGCAGTAATTGGTAGGAGGGTAACGGATAACCGCTACAAAGGCAGCTTCCTTGGCTGAAAGGTAAAAAGTTCTCCGCTCTGCAGTAAACATCTTTTCACCCCTGGGACGCAAGAGAAACCCGTCCTAAGAACAGGGCTGTAGGAGAGACTTGCTCTCTGGAGGCTGCTGTCCTATCTGCACAGGTTTCACTCATAATTAAATTAAATACCGCTCCCAGTAGGATTAACAGAACATCGTGATTGTACTTCAAAACTCAAAATATAAGGCACCACAGCCGAGGTCTAAGACAGCAGCCATCAGAAAGGACTTCCATACCACTGGAAGGGCTGAAAGGCAGGCAGGAGCATCGCCTGAAGCATCAGCTGGGCTGATGCTGGCAGCGCAAGTCATCCCACACGTAACTCAACCTTCCTCTCCGCCCAGCCTGGGCTCTGACCTCTGCCTGGTCCTTCTGGGCTCGACTGGACCAGACACACAAAGAAACCCCAAACCCCTCTCCCGTTCGGTTCAGATCAGCCCCCGCTTCAAACACTCGCAGCTGTAACTTCAGCTCATTTGCAAATCAACCACAGTTTATTTAACCTTCCTCCAACCCACTTCCCGCAGGCTAGATATTCATCATCCGCGGGACTCTCCTGAACGACACGCAGATCAATCGGGCTCGCTCAGCCCCCGTGAGACCCACCGGTACCACCACCGCTCTCTCGCCAGCCACACACAATCGAAATTAATTGCAAAAGCCCTTTCAAATGTATGACCTACTCGCTGACTTCCCCAGACAAAAAAACAAGCATCGTTTTTACACCTAACCAAAAATAGCACCCCGGTTTCCAAACAACTGCGAGTTAATTCTGTTCTTTCCACGCCAGCAGACATTTAAGGCTTGTATTGCACTTCTGCCATCATTTACACGCTACAGCGAGGGCAGGTAACTGTCTTACACCCAGAAGGAAGAAAGCACAGACCGAGTCTCCTCCCGGCTTTATCTATGAAACATCCAACAAAGCTGCAAATTATTTTATAACATTTCTAATAAACCCCTTCAAATTACTGCTTCTGTTCTGGGGGGGGCTGTGGGCTGTTAGATGCAAACCGTAAGCTAAGACAGCTTAGATGGAAGATTTCTGCAACATATTATTTCCACAAAGAGAAGAAACCTATTTTGCATAACGTGTACTAACAGTGATGAGGTTGATGTCTCCTGACCTTCAGTCAGCCCAGCTCCAGCGGTCACGTTTCACAGCATCGGACTCAACTTCTCAGAAAACTGCCTCTGAATTCAATCCCTTTTACCTCAGCAGAGGTATTCAGGTACGTATCCCACAGGAAACCTTTCCCATTTTTCCTGACATAGAATGTACATTCGTAAACACAAATGCACACCTTTGTGTACGTAGATTACTGTATGTTCCCACAGCAAGACCTGTCTTGCCAAATGTGTTTTGGCTTTAAGGTGAGCGATAGGGGAGGTGGACACTGTCATAAAGAATCTGCTGGAAGAGCACCAGGAGAGAGAGATGGGTCCTGGCTTTCCACAAGTTTTAAACCTACTAAGTGTCCACCCCTCCTCTCTTAAAAAAAAGGGGCATCCTTTAGATGAGATTGCCCCTTCCCTCGCGCCTGTTCTTGTTTTCCTTACCTCAACCAGGCCCAGCAAAAGCTACCTGCTGGAAACCGTCAGTGAGAAGTGCTGCAGCTTAAAATAAACCCCCAGTGCTTGTGCCAAAGGCAGTGCCATGAAGGTTTGTTCCAGAAAAGGTTTCCAGAAGGTTTCTTCCCTCCTCACCACCAACTGCGGCACCTCCATCTTTGTATTGACGCGCTCTCGCCATTGCTGATATTGGTCCTCCTCCCGTCCAGCTACCCTCCAGCTCTATACTCACCTCCTCCCTCATTTACTCACATTTTTAAAGATTTTTTTAACTTCAAAACCCTTTCATCCCTCCATGTTTTATCAAGATACAGCACATTTTGCTCTATTTTACCCAATATTCATCTAATCTTATAAAACTAGGTCACAAAATTTGCAAGTTTCTATCAGTTAGGCTTTACAGATCCAGAAAATACCACCTTTTTTTTTTTTGTTCTGTGTATAATGCCTGTCTGAAATATTTACAAAAATAAACTCAAAAGTATACAAACACACCACTTTGTTTTAAAATTCTAATGAGTTATTTACAAAATGCCTTTTCTTCAATCATTTCTGTTTTAAAACAGTTCTGCTAGAAAAAAAAAACCAAGCTGGAGTGCTTTGGTCCGCGTGTCAGCCCTGAAATCCTTACACCAGCCAGCTATGCTAATAGCAGGGAGTTTTTTTTGAAATATCAGGGATTTTTTCTTGAAATAGCA